TGGACGGTGGCACCGGGGCCTTCGGTGGAGCTCCCTATGGCGCCGCCAAGCCTAGGAAGGGTGTGCCGAATTAGGTGGGTGGGGCGCATGTGGGCGGTGGCACAGGGACCTTCGGTGGAGCTCCCTATGGCGCCACCGGGCGTGGGAAGGGTGTGCCGAAGTGGGTGGGCGGGACGCATGTGGACGGTGGCTCTGGGGCCTTCGGTGGAGCTCCGTATGGGGCCATGGAAATTGTGAGGGGTGTGCCGAAGTGGGCGGGGGGGGGACGCATGCGGACGGTGGCCCTGGGGTCCTTTTTTAACTGTGTAGCCAGGCTCGCACGAGCTCTGGGTTCTGGCGGCCGCAGCGGCCTGGCCCGAGCCGTTGTGGCCCCGAGCGAGCGGAAGGCGTCAGCCTCAGGGCAAGGGCGAGCGCGAGGTAAAGAAACGCCCTGCCCGCAGCAACCCCTTGCCACGGCTGCCACGGCTGACGCGCAAGCGCGAGAAGAGAGACAACCCGACTGCACATGGCTCAGCCGAGGTGACCACTGCGACTGAGAAGCCCGCAAGCGCTGACCGACCAACTGGGCGCGCACTGCTCCAGCCCGATAAGCGCACCCGATCGACCGAATCGAAGAGACATGCCGCGTCCAGCGCCGATAAGCGCACCCGATCAACCGGGAAACGAACAATCCAGCACGAATGAAATCGAACACCGCTGAAAACACACTGCCCGCAATGGGCGACGTTACCAAGCCTTCAAGCCAACGTGTGAACGCCGAGCAATATGAGCTAACCGACGCGCCGGCGCAATATTGTAAAACACGTCCAACACAACGTGTCATGGCGTGGCAATGACAATGCACAAGCGATGAAGCAAGACTGGATACCGTAACAGCAAAATGTCACAGAGACCTGCAGAGTGCTCTAGTCGACCTGGGTATAGAAGCCCTTGCTTCCAGCTGCTTCCACTAGAGCTCTCGCGAACGGCACAGACCCCCAAAGGGCGCGCCGCAGACGAGAAGCGCCACGTCCCGCGACGGCACTGCCAGCAGCATGTTGCCGAATATGCCGACGTCAAATCTCTACCTCGTCTCGAACCTGCTCGCACAAGGAGAACTCACTGCCACCGCGCATACGGTTCGTGTAACTGCGAATCATCCCAACGATCAGGGTGAGAACATGATGCCTGTGCTCGATGTCGCGTCGCGCGTGAGGCTCAGGGCGTCGACGAGGGTCATGCCCTCCTCACGCACATAGAGTCGCGCCAGCACGCTAAGGAGAGCGTCGCGCGAGAGGGCGAGGGTTGCCTCGGGCGGGCCACCTGCAAGGCCGGCAACTCCGTCTCGCCAGATGCGCCGCTGCTCCACGTCGAAGCCCGCCGTCGCCACCTCGATGCCTACCTCCATCTCGCAGAACCGCTGGTCCAGGGTGGAGGCAGGCCCGAAAGCTGGGGCGGGAGCCTCACGAGACGTGCCTGGCTCCTCCTCCCTCGTCTCGTGGCGGAGCAGCGGCCGCTCATCCAGACGTGGCGGAGGTGCTGAACTGACGCCCATCAAGGCCGTCGCTAGTGAATGCAAGAGCGCTGAAACGCGGGCCGAACCGTCGCTGACAGGTCGGCTGCTGGCAGAGCCCTCCCCCGTAGGCGGCGCCGCCTCGCACTCCACGGGCTGCGCCGTGAGCAGCGGGGAGACGCTGGCCTCGTCCGAGCCCTGGAGGTCCGCCTCGTCGTGCAGCGACGACGGGCCAGGAATGTTAATGTTCTCTTCCACCTCGCACTCCAGGACCTCCTCACCACCCATCAACGAAGGCGAAGATGGCGGAGAGAGCGGAGAAAGAGTTGGAGGCGCGCGCGGCGACTCCTCGGACGGGGGCTCCTGGGACTCCGCGACTTGGGGCTGCACGACGTCCGCCACGTACTCCGCCACCGAGGGGGGCGAGAAGACCGTGGCACCGCAAGTGTATATCCAAGGCGGCCCATGCCCAGGAACGAAAGATAGGGCATCCGACTTCAGCAGCGGCGACGCCAACCTCGGGACAGCCGGAGCGGTACCGCGGTCCTGCTGCCCGAGGCGCTCCCCTGCTGCCGCCCACGCCAGCTCGGCCTCTGAGGCGCGGCAGAACCCGCGAGGAGGCACGCGCCGCGCGTGGAGGGAAGCGTTGCACCGCCGGCGCGCCCTGCCTGGGACGCGCCGCTGGGCGGCTGCTGCGACCAGCGCAGGCCGCGCGGCCTGCTCCCTGTCCTGCCAGGAGCCAGATGCGGCTGCCCCCGCGCGCGACCGCAGCCACGCCTCGCAGGCATCACGGCGCCTGCGGCGGGCGAGGCGCCTCGCCGAAGGGGCGCCGACAGCAGCGGTGTCCGACGCTCGAGTCGAAGTGGGCGGCCTCCACGAGGACGGGCGGCACCCCGTAACCATCATCGCACAGGCCCCGCACGAAAACGCGCGGGGGGGCGAGGCAGCTTGAGCCAAAATGGCTACGGAGTGGGCTTTCGGTGGAGCTCCCTATGGGGCCACGAGACGTGGGAGGGGTGTGTCGAAGTGGGCTGGGGGGGACGCATGTGGACGGTGGCGTGGGAGGGGTGTACCGAAGTGGGTGGGGGGGGCGCATGTGGACGGTTGCACTGGGACCTTCGATGGAGCTCCATATGTCGCCACCAAGCGCGGGAGGGGTGTGCCGAAGCGGTTGGGGGGACGCATGTGGACGGTGGCACTGGGGCATTCGGTGGAGCTCCCTATGTGGCCATGAAGCGTGTGAGGGGTGTGCCAAAGTGGGTGGGGGGGACGCATGTGGACGGTGGCACTGGGGCCTTCGGTGGAGCTCCCTATGGCGCCACCTATGGGGGCCACCACACGTGTGAGTGGTGTGCGATGATGATGATGATGATGATGATGATGATGATGATGATGATGATGATGATGATGATGATGATGATGATGATGATGATGATGATGATGATGATGATGATGATGATGATGATGATGATGATGATGATGATGATGATGATGATGGCTGATGGTGATGGTGGTGGTGATGCTGATGCTGAGATGAGAATATGATGCTGATGACGATACGATGGACGAGAATGACGATGAGAGGATGGTGATGATGATCATGATGATGCTGCTGATGATGATGATGATTGTGATGGTGATGAAGATGATTGTGATGATGATGATGATGATGATGATGATGATGCTGCTGAAGATGATGATGATGCGTATGATGATGAAGTTGATGCTCAGTTTGATGAGGATAATGATGCTGCTGATGATGATCATGATGATGCTGCTGATGATGATCATGATCATGATGATGATGAAGATGAAGATGATGATGATGATGATGATGATGATGATGATGATGATGATGATGATGATGGTGATGATGATGATGATGATGATGATGATGATGATGATGATGATGATGATGATGATGATGATGATGATTATGATGATTATGAAGATGGGAAGGGGGGAGGAGGGGGAGGAGGAAGGAGAAGAGACGTGGGGCGCTCTGTCCTCAAAACGAAAACCCAACATCATACAATGGATAGAGCACATGGGTGGAACCTGTCGCACGGCACCCGTGAGGTGCGGAACGCCTCGCAGCTCGGTCCGTGTGCCCGACGTCTCGCCCAGGACCTCCATCTCCCGCGCGAACAAAACACGCTCCGCTTCCTCTATCTCCTCCATCTCCTCCTCCTCCTCCTGCTCCTCTTCCTCCTCTTCCTCCTCCTCCTCCTCCTCCTCCTCCTCCTCTCCTCCTCCTCCTCCTCCTCCTCCACCTCCTCCTCCTCCTCCTCCTTCTCCTCCGCCTGTTGCCTCGTTCCATTGTGAGCGAGCCCTACGGCGAATCTGAATCCGGCGGACCCGCTCCCAGGGAGGGGGACGAGGCGGAGGAACGGGAGGCGAAAGCAGGAGCGTGGGCAACAGGATCCCTCCTCCTCCCCCTTCTCCCATTCTCTCCTTCTCCTCCCTCCATTCTCGTCCGCCTAACTCCTCCTGCTCCTCCTTCTCCTCCTCCTCCTGCTTCTCTTCCTCCTCCTCCTCCTCCTCCCTCCTCCTCTGCTTCCCTCCTCTCTCAACCCCTGTCCGTCATCCCTCCCCCCCTCCATCTCCCTCTCTCTCCATCCTGCTCGTCCCCCTCGTCTTCCCGCGCTCCCTCTACAATTACTCAATATGAATACTACTCTCCCTCTTCCCCTGATGACGGCTTGAAAGTATTAGCCCCCCCCCCCCGCGTACTGTTTTTTACACACAGGATTCCCCGGAGGTGGGTTTTCGCTTGCAATTGTTTCCAAAATGCTGCTCTCGCTGCAGCGCTGGCCTCATGTTCGGGCCCCGCTCGTTCCGAATCGTGCTCTCGCTGCAGCGCTGGCCTCATGTCCGTGCTTCCGCTCGTTCCGAATCGTGCTCCCGCTGCAGTGCTGGCCTCATTTCCGCGCTTCTGCTCGTTCCGACTCGTGCTCCCGCTGCAGCGCTGGCCTCATTTCCCGTCCATGCCACGGCATGCAATGCAATGCTAGGTTGATACTACGCTTTGCGGTGCTCTTCTACGCCATGCCACGCCGTGCTCTACAATGCATCGCGTACCCTTCCGGGATCATTGCCCTGCTCGACATCCGACTGTGCGAGGAGAGAGGTGATCTACGCCATGGCAAGGGATGGGAGGGAGGGGTGAGATGTCAGATATGACGCGAGCGCACCTAGCTTGCCTTCCCCCCCTCGTCCCCCTCCCCCCCTTTGCCTCGCGCTGCCTGCCCCGTGCCACCCCCTTCCCCCCTCCACTCTGCCTCACCCTCCCTCCCCGTCCCTCATCTGTACCGTCGTGACCGAATGTGCGGAGGAGGAGGAGGAGGAGGAGGAGGAGGAGGAGGAGCGGAGGAGGAGGGAGGGGGAGGAGGAGGAGGAGGATGGAGGGGAGGGGAGGAGGAGGAGGAGGAGGAGGAGGAGGAGGAGGAGGAGGAGAGGAGAGGGGGAGGAGGAGGAGGAGAGGAGGAGGAGGAGGAGGGGGAGGAGGAGGGAGGAGGAGGGGAGGGGGAGGGGGAGGAGGAGGAGGAGGAGGAGGAGGAGGAGGAGGAGGAGGCAGGAGGAGGAGGAGGAGGAGGAATAGGAGGAGGAAGGGACATGTTAGGCACACGCAAACCGAATCCACGGCAAGAGAGGACAACGGAGCCCATCGGGACCCCCTGCAAGCACTGCACCACCCAGAAAGCCCCCAACGCACCTTGCCATCAGTCGAACACCTCCTCCTGCTCGTCCTCCACCTCCTATCCCATCCCCCTGGTCCTCCGCCTCCTCCCCCTCGTGCACCCCGTCCTCCTCCTTCGCCTCCCCGACTAGAAGAGCAAACTCATGCGGACATTGCTGCTCCCCGGACCTCTCCCGGGGTGCGTTCTGACTAGGCTTCCGTGGCGAGTCCAGGCGTGGCGACGAGTGCCCCGCCCCCCCCCCCCCCCAGGAGGCCAAAAAAGGCAAGGACAGAGGCGTGGCACTGGAATCGCTAGGTTGTACAGTCGGGGCGTTGACCTAAGGAACCCTAGATAGGGAACGGTGCCCCTTTTTTCCCAAAAAGTTAATTTCGGTTTCCCATGGACCAAAAAAGGAAACCTAAGGCAAATTACACAACAATCAAGGAACACCGAGCCCCTCCCCAACGAAGAAGGTTCCTTCTTCAGCGCCCCGACTTCAGGCCCAATCCGGCCGTGGTGACAAGGAAGGGCATCGGCAACGGTATCTCTTCCGCTTCTGCCCGCCTCCTCCTCCTCCTCCCTCTCGAAGAAGAAAAAAAAACAGAAACATAAATGTTGGCGCTCCGCGCGGACTTCTTGGATCCGCGCTGGACCCCCCCTCCCTGGCGCGCAGAGCGCCAAAAGTTCATGTGTATGGCGTTTTCTCTTCTTCGATCCTCCTCCTCCTCCTTCCTCAAGGTGGCGGTGGCACTGGTCGCACGGCCTAACCGCCTGATAATCCAGCGAAATGCAGTCGATTTTGACTGGAGAGGACACGCGAGAGGAGCCACAAGACCCATCAGAGGGCCACGTCGCCCCGAGAGTGGGGCGGACGTGGGGCGCGAAGCACAAGACACCATTAGGAGCCTCCAAACCAGGTGGTGAGATACAGCATTCGGCCTGACCTGAGGAACGATAAATAAGACACGAAGCCCCTTTTTTGTCCAAGTGAGTCTAGGACGTCCGAAGGAACACCAGGGGGGCTCGCCGCCAGAAAGGTGGCGGAACGTCGTGCAAACTGAAGTGACGACCGAGCCCCTTTTGAAAAATGAGTGTTCCTTGTTTAAGCCGGACCCTGTATCAGGTGGTGATCTGGAATCACCTAAGAATCACAGCCGGGTTTTGGAACACGGGGTAGCCGCCGGGTTTTGTGACTCCTGGACCCACCAGCGGTTGGGACAGCGGCGAAACCCATACGAATCCCCAAACCGGGTGGTGACACCAAGTCGCCCGAGACTCACCGCCGGGTGATGTCACCACCACAAAATACCAACACATGGGCACTCTTGATCTGCATGCGTCGGCTTGCGACTCAAAATCGACTGTAGAGCCCGCGGTTTGTTCAGCAACGCGCCGCGCAGCCTCCCCGGGAAAGATGGCGATATCGGCTCCGAGCCTCGGGGGGGAGTCTGCGCATCGAGGGCAGCGAGAGGAGGAGGAGGAAGAGGAAGAGGAGGAGGAAAGGGAGGAAGAGGAGGAGGAATGCCAGCAGAAGGGCGGAGGAGGTGGAGGAGGAAGAGGAGGAGGAGGAGGAGGAGGAGCCAGCAAAAGGGCCCGTGGAGCGACAGCGCGGAGGGCGACGACGAGGGCGACGATGGGCACGAGGACTCGCTGGAAGCGGTGGGAGACCCGTCTGCTGCTATCTTGCCCGGCGTCTGGCAGGGGGGGTGAAAAACGATGGGGGCCGTCAGGGGGGGTGGGGGCGGCTCAAAGGGGGAGAACATTGAGCTGGAATCGGCGATGCATCGCCGTCGTATCTGGCGTCTCGGAATCCGCTTCTGCTGGGTCCCAGGGCCGCCCAAACTGGCCCCTTGGAAGGGGTCGGGGCCTCTGAGGCTCAGCGTGACGACAGAAGGAGCAAGAAGAATGCGTGCTGACGTTGTCGCCGTCTGGACAGTGCTTCTGGTACCCAGCCGTCAAAACGTACTCAGGATTAAAAGCCCAATTGTGGGAAGAGGTCCAGAGGTCCGGGAGCCCAGGTGGTCCAGAGGTGCGGGTGCCACTCAGTCATCAAAAAACGCTACGTCGGACGTCTGGGACCAGGGACTACAGCGATAGTCGTAGCATAACTGCTGAACAGCTGCTGAACAACTACAACGCGAACACCCCTGACCTTGCAGAGTGCTGCCAGACTGCCCTCCAGACCTGTAGACTCGTCAGGAATGATGACCTCGGCTAGAACTTCAACTCAGAGGTTCTGTTTGTACTTTTCGGAGGCGGCCAAGAGGGGGACGTTCACCCGCCCTGCCCGCTCCGCCTCTCATGGCCCAGGCCCCCGTTCCCCCCCCT